CCGTTTGTCCCTTTTGCCTTCGATATGTCTTGTGAGTGTCAAATTTTCCTCATTATGTGTCCAAGATATTTAGGTTGTATATTTCTGATTCTGAGTAGAAGTGTTCTTTTTGTTTTAATTTTCCTTCAGGCTCCTTCGTTGCTTACGCGCTCCGTCAGTGGTATTCTCAGTATCCTTCTGTAGAACGACATTTCTGTCGCCTCCATTTTTCTCTTGAGCTGTGAAGAGACTGTCCAGCATTCACCGTCATTTCGGGGGATTGATACTGCACAGCAGTTCAGCACTCTTTTCTTTGTTTCTAACGAAATTTTCCAGTTTGTTTAGCTTTTGAAAAGCATATTTTGCTCATCCAATGCGCTTTCGAATTTCAGTAACGCATTTTTCATCCCTTTTTAATCCAGTTTCCAGACGTTTAAACTTCTTTGTAAATAAGCAAATGTATTCTTAGATGGACTTTCCTCGCCACATAAAATCTTCTCTCGCTGTTTTGATGAAGTAATTTGTTCTGTCACGTGTCCTTCTTAATTCAATTGATCATTTTTTTTTTTTTTTTTTGTTCATAGAACTCTTTTTTTCTTTTGCGATTGACGCGTTATTTTTGTCTTGATTGTATTTTTTTTCCATTTATTTAAATTCGTGTGCGTACACTGTTTTGGCTCGAGACAATTTGTGATGAAGAAGATGCGCTGTGTGTGTCGGGGGAATTATTTTGTCTATTCTCATTTGGATAATAAAAGACAATTATAAGGGAATATTTCTTTCTTTTTTTTCACTTTGCATTCATCGGCTGATTTCAAACTGTTTCCGTTTGATTTATTCGCCCCCAGTCTTTTCTTTCCTTATCTATCACGGATAGTTTGGATAAGTTTGCTGGTAGGGTTAAGGTTATCGTTTCGGAAAATGTAATCGGCGAGCCGTGTTCAAATTTTGGACCACTCTTTTGCATTTATTTTTGCAGTACAGTCCTTGGGCGATGAATTTTTGGCAGGTTGAGAGGGTAAAAATTTAGTCTTGTAAAAACGATTAACTCACACACAAAGAAATAAAGAAATGAAAAGAGGAAATCAGATAAATTGTAAATCCAAAATTGTATATTCCAGAAATTGTCGGTGTTTCACATTCTTATAAAAAAAAAAGTTTTCGAAGTCGACACAGAAATATTTCTTCATGTCTCCTCTTAATACTTAAACTGTCACTTCTGACTACCCTACCGACTCTTACACGAGGTATTTATCCGTGCGTCCACAGAATGTCACATGAGGTCGAAGTTTAATGTCGTGTCAGGTTTTTTTTCGGCAGTGCCGTAGAAAAATTGCTGAAGCCCCCACGACACGTCCCATTATTTAAGGACACCTTAGGCTCCCGGTAATGACTCCAGCCCCCCCTCACGAAGGAGATGTACTGACCTGGGTGCATGGTGTCCTGGTGCTCGAGTTCATATTTTTAACTTCGCGGGCAGAAGCGAACTCCTGGGTCGGTAACTGACTACTTGATACGTCAGCATGTATATGTACATGTATTTAGACAATGAACACAAGAATACGCGCGAATATTTAACAGAAAAAAAAACTTGGTTCTGTTTGAATGTGTTTTACTTGAAGAGCATAAAGTCCTTCATAACTTAATGTATTAATTAATATAAATGTTTAAAAGCTGAAACTTTGTAGATTAATAATTTAATATATGTTTTAAACCAGGGGTCGGCAACTCATTCGGCCCCACGAGACGGATCGTGTTATAATGACGGGTCGAGGGCCGGACGAAGGCCATTAATGAAAAATTAAGGAAAATTACATATGCAGACCCCTGTCAACCTAAATATTTAAAAACCATAATGAAAATAAACATTGAGAAATCAGAAAACAAAAAGAAAATCTAAAATTAAAAAACACCTAACAAAAAATTACTTTTCCTCAAGGAACGTCAAAATACTTCAAAGTGAAAAAAATCAACCAAGAAATGGATGAAATTATGACGTGTAGGTTTGAAACTGTTATTAAAAATTGTTCCACAAACGAACCACACACACACACACACATCAAACAAAAAACGAAGCCCATATACCCATACATATGAGTACAAATAGTTGCAAACATATACACTTACGTACGTACACATGCAGTATCATCCACACATTCATGAGGCATGTATGTATAATGCGCGTATGTTTAACTTTAGATTTCTGCTACCTCGCATGTCAGTCCCTCCCTGGCCTCTTTCACTTTATCGTTCCTTTCGCTTCTGTTATCTTTTAATATAGCCAAGGGTCATAACAAATATGTATCCATTATTTGACATTAAATGTAGGCAACGCAACTTGGTAAAATAAGTCTCATGAAAGATAACTGGCAGATAGTCTAATATTTTTAGTGCACTGAGATGTGTAGACATTTTATGGAAAATGACATATAACAAATATAACATCTGTACATCTTACCTTGTGGACGGCTTCGCCACGGAAAGTATAACCCAGTATCAGTTTACCCGTTTAAGGGATGCCCATTTACCGCAGCGGAGTGGTCATCGGATCAGATGGTGATCCCCTATAAGGAAGACACCAATTTGAACACTGTACAGACCGATCCATAAATTTACAGTTTAAAAACCAGAAAACATTTTTAGATTGTAAGAATTTTTTGGAGGTAATAATGATTTATAGATACAAGTCCTTCTAATTAACCCATAGCGAGGGTGAAAAAAGTGGAGTCATAACTTTCCTAAGGGTATTTGCGCGGAGGTGAATATACCGAACTGAACGGGAACTGAAACTCGGTCCTCCGGTTTCGAGCCATTATCCATTTCACCATCCGCACATACAAGCTTATAGCACCAGGTATTCCAAAGCGGACACCCGTCTAGGTAATGACCAGGCTCGACGTCGCTTAACTTTAATGGTCGTACAAGAAGCGGTATTGCAATGTTTTTTGGCCGTAAGCCTTGGATGGATAGTCGGAGGTTTGGCTAAAAGACAAACTCTGTTATGAGACACAAGGTATAAGATACTGCAGAGAGCCATGACCGCACATGTCCTGACAGAACACGGTATAGAATTCTTCTTCTTCTTATTATTATTATTATAGGGAATGCAGCCCCAAAATTAGGTCTTCAAAAGTCTTAGGATACGCGAGTATATACGGTATAGATATATTTATTTTGAGTAGACATACACGAGATATAAAATTCTCGTATGTACAGCTGGCTCTGGATACGCCGTTGACTAAACTATATATTCGTTTACTGTAGTCAAATTAGTTTCAAAATTAGTTCTTCAAAGTTCACATGATACGCGAATATATACGATATATATATCCTATTCTAATTGTACTGGTCCCTTCATTAGTTAATACGACCGTTACGTCCTGTCAATTCCTCATAAATAAAGGACTATTCTGCGTTATGGTCGCGTGGAAGGAGGAAAAACACAATACTTAGTTTCAGTGAGATAATGAAATAAAAAAGAAAGAAAGAAGGGAAGATAGAAGTGGAGAGATAGAACCAAATAAGAACAGATACTACACTTTGATCGCAGCCAAAAGCGATAAAATCGACAAAATCGACATTTTTCAGAAGCATAGTATAGAATGAGAGAAACCGGGTAAAAGCAATCTCTAAAAAATCCAATTACTATAATAATAAATAAAATTTATATATATATATATATATATATATATATATATATATATATATATATATATATATATATATATTCTAACCTGAGCAAGCCAAAGAGAGCAAGCGCTCTCAGTGAAAAGCGTCGTTAATAAATTTTACACTTTGTCTCATCTTCATAATGTAACTATGCATATATAATGTAATTATATATAATTATATATATTAAATATATTGTTTAAAATTTGCTATATTTGTAAGTCTAGAGTGGTACATAGAAGACAGGGTATTTATAGGGATAGACCAGTGGTTCCCAACGTTTTTTGCTAAATGTCCCACCAAATCTCTAATATCCTGATGAACATCATCCCACCTCGTGACATATAATCCTTATTATTCAAAACATGAACTCCTATTCATGTAGCGGAAGACGAAAAGGCCACTTACTTGGTCTAAAAAGTTTCCCAAAAACATGGCATCCATGAGAGACAAAAAATATTGGAAGTATTGAGAAAGAAATTACTAAGAAATTGTTAAAATATATATATATATATATATATATATATATATATATATATATGTGCATGTGTGTGTGTGTGTGTGTGTGTGTGTGTGTGTATTTAGGCAGCAATCCTTCTTTCATAAAATGTTTTAATTTTTTTCAAATGTATAGACGAATAAAAATAAACATAAAAAAGAAGATTTGGACAGTTTTTATATAATTTATCATCTGAAAAGAAAAGAATTATTAGAACGCATGAGAAATTGTTAAAAAAACTAAATAAAAAACTGTTTGTCTGTCGTATCTAATGAAATATGCATATATATATATATATATATATATATATATATATATATATATATATATATATAGTATGTGTGGATGACTATATATATATATATATATATATATATATATATATACACACATAGTAGATGCCTAATTACACATGTACTTACATACAAATATTTTCGTACACATACTCTATATGCAGCGTATGTATTAGATCGCACACATTAATTCACTGTTAACCACTCATTCCCCATTTGCCCGCCTTAAAAATAAAATTACTCGTCTGTGGGAGGTGCACTCCACGTTGAGGACCACGAATACAGACAATGTGAAATTAGTAATCAACATTGCATGGTGACTGTCAGTTTCACGCTTCGATACTTGGGGTTCTCGGTCTGACCGAGAAACGCTTTCAAAAAAGTTTGATACTTGGTCATTTAGTATGATTTTGTAAAGTAGTTTTGGATTGAAAACTCACGTTTTTGGAAGACTGCGTTAGACTAACTAGAGTCGGACTAAAATATCAAAAGTCGAAATCGGGGCTTTTGCATCGGCTCGAACACCGACTACAGGGGCTTGAAGTAAACAATCTTATGCACTAAGAATGCACAGATATAGATAGATAGATAGATAGATAGATAGATAGATAGATAGATAGATATGAACAGATTGAGATAGATAGATAGATAGATAGATAGATATGAACAGACATAGACAGATAGATATGAACAGACATAGATAGATAGATAGATAGATAGATAGATAGATAGATAGATAGATACATGCATACATATATACGAACATACCGGGATAGATAGATAGATAGATAGATAGATAGATAGATAGATAGATAGATAGATAGATAGATAGATAAAGCTTCGGTGAACTAGACGATTCACCTCGAAATATCTGTGGAAGAGACTCAATATTTCGCGAGACAATTTTATTAAACGCGTTCATGTATTCCATATTTGCTTGGCAAATGAGTACACTTGCAACTGCGTGTATACATGCGGTATAGCTTGGGTTCGTATAACGTGAAGGCTAAAAAGAAGTAGAATGTTTATACAAAGGCAGAAAGAAGAAAACCACACCGTGTCTAAATCAATGGAAATAGAGAAGTCGATTAAAGTAACACGAGAAAAAATACAAGGGGAATGAAAACAAATACTGTAAAAAATATAGAGGTTAATAATTATACGAATGCAAGACAGAATAAACAAAAACATATGAAACAGGGTAAATAAAGCGATAAGGAAAGTGTATAGAATGTTTAATAGAAAGTAATAATGACGTGCTTTTGTTTACCACAAATAAATGACAGGAAAGCAAATAAATGGCGGCAAATAAGATCGTGACATTGTCGTCGAACGGCGACCTTGGTTTGGAAGAGAGACGAACTTGAGACCTTCGCTGTGTTGGGAATATCATTTAATATGAAGACAGCTAGAAATTTACCTTTTTATTTCCCCGGACACAGTTTAAACCATCAATTGAACCGAAATATCTGAGGAAAGAAGGAATAAAAAAAAAAAAAAGCAAATATTTTATTTTTGGTGGGTATATGGTGAATAAATGTTGAAGAGGGCTGGGTAGGTCGAGCTTTTCCAACAATGCAACTCCGGAATAATTAGACATTGGAAGAAACATCCCCGCTCGTAATAATCGATCCAGAAAGTAGCTTACGGATGAACTGATATTTACAAGATAATTTCGCTGATATGGATTTTGCTGATTTTTGCCTTTCAATCATGTAAATGCATACACAGTAGACTAGAATTTTCAAAAGATAATTAGGATAGCTTGGTCAATTTCATTATATAGGTATATACGCAAACATTAAGCGAGTTTGGACTTACGTCTATACACAAAAATTACTTGAGATAATGCTGAAGTTATACGCAAAAATTAGTCGGTTTGTGCAAATGCCAACACGCAAATATTGGTCTGATTTAAGCTTGTGTCAATACGTAAATTTTGGTCCGATTTAAGCTTGTGTCAATACGTAAATTTTGGTCTGATTTAAGCTTGTGTCAATACGTAAATTTTGGTCTGATTTAAGCTTGTGTCAATACGTAAATTTTGGTCTGATTTAAGCTTGTGTCAATACGTAAATTTTGGTCGGCTTTATGATCAAAAGAGACTTAGGATAGTTTCGTTAATTTAACAATATATTAACATATGTGGTGTTATTTAATGCAGTTTTTTAATGCTTGAGTCTGTGGATGACAATATATATATATATATATATATATATATATATATATATATATATATATATATGTGTGTGTGTGTGAAAATATATAGAAAATAGGAAAGAACTCGTTAGGTAAATAATCCAAACTTCTTTAGTATTTTTGTTATTATTTTTAAAAAATAGTGCTCGATACAAAAGTAGAGCATAAATATAATTATTTATTTAAAAATATGATTCCAGCACACTACATAAGAGTTCTCATGTTTCAAAACAAGAGCCGAAAACTTCAATATAATTATTTGAATTAAATTGAATTAAAGTAAGCTCTGTTCTATCTTCAAGCGAAATTTTTTTTGGAATAACTTATTTCTGAAATTTACGTGTTTTAATAGCATATTCATTATTGAAATCAAAATTTCTATGGTAACGGCTAGAGCAATTGTTTAAATAAAAAGTGAATAAAACACCAAAAGTAAAATGAAAAATTATAAACAAAACTAGAACTTGTAAAACTTGGGATGACCCATGCCCTTTATGCCTACATGAAAAACTACACATTATTAAGTTTCTAAATAATAAAAATCTGTTAAACAATAGACATGTGTTAACGGTTTTTTGCCGACATCATCAAATTTTTGCATTGAATAATTAGCATAAAAACAAACAAACAATAAAATAATTTTAAAATCCATAGTCATAATAAATAGTTTAAATGCCTTACAAAAAAGATAACCCTTTATGAAGTCGTCAAAAAACAAATGTTACAGCAGTTTTTATATACACAAAACCCTTCCAGAAAAAAATAAAATAAAAAAATAAATAAATCTCCATAGACACGTAAACCAAACAAGGCGAAATCATCTTCCGTTTTAAATTTAGACACCCCAACCTTACCCTGACTTGACATCTGTGAATGTAACTTTATACTGATACAAATTATTAACACCTTAAACCCCTTTTTATTTAAACAATTGCTCTAGCCGTTACCATAGAAATTTTGATTTCAATAATGAATATGGTATTAAAACACGTAAATTTCAGAAATAAGTTATTCCAAAAAAATTTCGCTTGAAGATGGAACAGAGCTTACTTTATAATAATTATATTGAAGTTTTCGGCTCTTGTTTTGAAACATGAGAACACTTATGTAGCGTGTTGGAATCATATTTTTAAATAAATAATTATATATATATATATATATATATATATATGCTTGAGCCTGTGGATAATAATATATATATATATATATATATATATATATATATACAAATATAGATAACTATACTCGTTTTGAAAAACCCGAAATTTTGATTTGCCAATAATCAAATCAATCTCGAGGGAAAAAAGGTTTTAAAAAAGAAAGAGCTAGAAACATGAATTTCTGTCGACAAAAAATCGCACAGATACAGGTTTAAAGCCCAAAGAAAAAACCCCGACACGAGTAAACAACTAACTAACTAAAGAGCTCAATACAACCGTAGAGCAGACCTAGATAAACCTAGTGAGCCAGACAAACCTAACCAGGTTTCACCTTAGCAGATCGTCAGACTGAGATAGATATAAACAGACTGAGATAGATAGATAGATAGATAGATAGATAGATAGATCAAAAGAGACTTAGGATAGTTTGGTTAATTTAACAATTTATATATTTTTTTTAAGCATTACGCCCCGAGCAAGGCGTGAAGCCACTAGGATGCAGGGGTTGCAGAAGATTTGGAGCAGATAGGAGTGATAGAAGAAAGGATGAGGAGAGGGATAGTGGATAGATCAAGGTAACTGGAGATGTCGATTGACATTACATTTGAATAGTTGGAGATTATAGCTCTCAGGGAAACAGTAATTGGGAAGGATGTTCCACAGGCGAGAGGTGCGAGGTATGAAGCTATTGGAGTAGAAGAGACGGCTACATTTAAAAGTTTCTACAGTGTAAGGGTGGGATCGGGATGCCAGCCTATATATATATAAAGTGGATACAGTTGTCAGGACCAAGAGACGACAGCTCGTCTCATGCTTGAACGTGATCTGCAGACTATATATATATATATATAGTTTCCAACAACTCCTGTTTGTATACACAGAAAAGTAATAAAATATTGGAAGAATGTATACATAAGTCCATACGAAGATACTGGTTGGTTTGAGACTTGAGTCTCTATGCAAACATTTGCTGGCTAATGCATGAGTCAAAACACAAAAATGGTAGAGATAATGTCAAGCAAATACGCAAATGTTGGTCGGATTTATTCCTCAGTATATGTGCAAAAATTGATCGAGTTTATGCTTCCGTCTATATGCAAACATTAGTCGTTTTTATGCATGTGTATACGCAAACACACACACGCATATATATATATATATATATATATATATATATATATATATATATATATATATATATATATATTTTGAATAAAAGACAGACCACGTTAAGATTCCATGTAATAAGCTATTTCCCCATAACCCCTTTAACAGGGTTCTGGATCATCAGACTTTACTTCCAAAAGCTGAAATATTGTGATGTCAACTAACACTCGTAGTCACTTTCGTAATGATCGTCGCAGTAGAGACTTTGTAATCGCAGATACAACTATAGTAACGCCGTTGAACAATACTGGTGTCAAACACCTTCAAATATCACAAGCACTAATAGTATTTGCTCGATAATACTCGCTCGAAAAGCAACCGCTGAATAGTGATCCGAATAGTATAGTGAATAGAGTAAAGAATAGCTGTCCGTATAGTGATAGTGATCTGCATAGTAACAGAGGATAGACAAGAAATGACGATCATTTAGGCGCCAAGCTAATTCCTACATATGCGTTTCATCTATGGTCACGTGGTTTACTAAATTCAATAATCGGATCAACTGAGTTTGCTTACTGGCGATCTATGTTGAAACTCAAGTGTCGACAGTGACATATTGTTATATAGGAATAAAGTGTCGGCAGTGACAATTTATTCCTATATATCAATATGTATATTGAGGCAATCAGATGTCTATCCACTCTAATGAGCTGTGAAACAGCGAAACAGTCGACGAAATATATATATATATATATATATATATATATATATATATATATATATATATAAAGTGGATACTGTGGTCAGCCAAGCGACAACAGCCCGTTTCATTCTTGAACGTAATCTTCAGGGCTATATATATAAGACAATATTTATGAATAAAAATGACAATAGGAAAACTGGTAATTGCTGACGCGTTTCGTCCAATGTGGACTTTCTCAAAGCAAAATAAGAAAAATTTCGTATTTTGCTTTGAAACGTCAGCAATTACTAGAAATATATATATATATATATATATATATATATATATATATATATATATATATATATATATATATACAGATTCCAACAACTCCTGTTTGTATACTAGGCAAACTTTGACCCTCATGCTCGCAAGAAACGGGTGACAAAAGGACGCCTTTTCACGCCTATTATTTTAACTACCTTCACTCCCCAGCAATGTTTATTGTTTTAAAAAGCGATGATTAAAATTGTAATAAAACCTAAAAATATGAAAGTGAATTTAAATATTTCCGTTGTTCTTGTAAAATTCACTGTTTAATAAAAATAAAAATCAGGGATGACAAATCAAACACGTGTACCCACTAGAAATAAGGTCCAAAGTAATATGAAAAATGAGGATAAAATCTTTTCCATATATATATATATATATATAATCATTTCATTACAAGCAAGGCGATAATGCCATGAGGACGCATGGCGATACTGAACAATGTTCAAGTCCGTCATGAACTGAAAGAGATGTGATCGCCCAAATATGCACTTCACTGACTGACTGAACCTTCAATTGTATTGATAAATCACCATTCTTTTTCACAAGTTAACATAAAAGTATAAGCAGGTGAAAAATGGAAGTGAAGGTGCCTGGACACGGGTTCTAGGAATATTCGCCGTAAACATTTTCGCCGTAGAAAACTTTGCCGTATAGAATTTTTAGCGTAATACAATTTCGCGCCCCCTTTTTTAAATATGCGAATTACCTTGCTATCAAGTATATATGGCTAACACTATTGTTACGACGATTTAAACATTTTAATAAGCGAAGATATATTAACATGAATCCATATTTGTGGAAACTAATAGCGTGTTTGAAAAAGGAAGAGACATTAGCAAAAAAGAAAAAGTGTAATTTAGATCGAAGAGATGCAGTACTTCAGCGGAAAATGCTTCATTATAGTCCAACTCCAAAAAAAAAAAACATTATTTACGCTCTATTGCTTAGAATTTTCGCACAATTTAAATTATTTCCTTGTTAATTTGATATATTTTTAGTCTTATTTTTTAAATAAATGTTTACTTCTTAATTTCTTTTCTGATGTTTGACTCTGTAAAAAAGACATCCATATATACTTGATAACAAGGTACTTTGCATATTAAATTGAACATTACACCAAAAGTGAAGTTCAAGATAAGGGTATCGAAAAAAAAAATGCGGAGAAATTGTCTTACGGTAAAAATCCTATACGGCGAAGTTTCTTACGCTGAAAATTTCTGAATTCCTACGGCAAAAAATGTTTACGGCGAATGATTCGGATACGTTGGACATGGGTGCAGGACCCCTCAACACCGCCCCGACTGAGCGTTGGGACAACTCAGGACCGAGACAACTCAGCACCAGAAAAAACATAACTTTTTTTTATAACTGAATAAAAGTAATTTATTACGGATAATTCATTAGTGAATATTTTTCTTCAAATAAGGCATTTGAAAAGGCATTATGTTATTTCATTGCATTAGAATTATCATATGTTTTTAGTTTCATGACTATCTAGGCAGAAGATTTTTTCCTGCAATAGGTTGTCACTTCTTTTTGCATTAGCTGGGAGGAGGAGAGATGGATACATACCTTTCCCAAGGGTATTTGTACGCAAGTGAATATAACGAACTCGAATAGGATTCGAACTCGGCTCTCCGAGTTCTCATTCCTGTTGTGTCGGAAACCTACCACCCCTCTTGAAGATGAACTTGTCTGCGAACAAAGACTTTAAATAGTGGCATGTCAGTTGACATGGGGGGGGGGGAAGACAGATAGACCTTCGAGTCTATCTGAGTCGTGATACAGTCTTTGACTGTAATCGACGTCTGTCGAACTCTCTGCTAACGCAGAGAGGAACCCGGACGAGGCTTTGCCGAAGGACAAGGTTTCGTCCGGGGAGGTAGACAGGGCCTGAACCCGTCTAGGCGGGTTCAAAGGCTATATTTTTGGCCGAGCCTACGGGCTCGGAGATACCCACATTAAACCGGCCTTGTGCCATATTCAATCGTCGTGGGTGGATCGATAAATACTAAGACAGATAGACAGAGAAGTTCTTAGCTGAGCTAGTTATTGACTACTCAGGCGATTTCTGTACTTTTTTACCAACCTATTAAAACCCTTTTTATTGTTACGTGTTTTTTGGTGTTTGTCTCTACTAACCCCAAATCAACATCATAACATTCCAATACACATCAGTAAAGTAAATCGTCATGTAATAATGACTTGCTTTATTAAAAAATAAATTACATTACGATTTACTTTATTAAAAATAATTAAAAACAAAAATACTCTTTCATATTTTTTTGCATTTTTCGATTTAGTTTATTAAAAATAATTAAAAACAAGTGTGTTTTATTGAATTATTTTTTATATGTCAATTTACTTTATTAGAAAATAAATGCCTTTACGATTTACTGTATTGAAAATAATTAAAAACAAAACATGTTTCGTATTTCACATAATGCCTTTTCAAATGCCTTATTTGAAGAGAAAAAAAATTATTCGGTTATAAAAATGTTGTTTTTCTGGTGCTGATTTGTCTCGATCCTGAGTTGTCCCGGCGCTCAGCCGACGGCGTTCAATAGACAGTTTTCGCGGTATTGTGTTGTCCCTTGCCGCTAACGATATCAATGAACCCCGTAAAAAAAGAGTTCGTAAATTTTCGAGATTACAGGTGCCATCTTTTTAGGAGGACAAGAAAAAAATAACTGCGATGCTGTATAAAAATTACGGATAATGCAGCACGATTTGGTACTTTTTTTGTACCCAACATTAGCAGAAGAAAATAATGAATGAAATAAAAATAGCAAATTTGAATTTGAAATCTCCATCCCTCCTAAAATACGAGTGCTGGGTTACTTATTACGGTGTTAACCATTTCTTTTAAATGACAGTGAATGATGAACAATTTCTCTAAAGAGGAGGAAAAGTTAGAAGCACCAGAAATGTGATTCTACAGAAGGATACTGAAAATTCCATGGACGAAGCGAGTAAGCAACAAGGAAGTCTTAAAAAAAAAACTGGCAACAGAGATAACAGTTATACTCAAAATCAGGAAAAGACATTTGAAATTTCTTGGGCAAATAATGAGGAAGGAGAGCTTGGAAAAATTAACCCTCACGCGACATACTGAGGGTAAAGGAAGGTCAGTGAAAGCATTGAGACGAGCTTGGATGTCAAAACGTGGGTGGGGCCTTGGCAAAGGGTGAAAAACTACTGAGATCCATACGAGATAGAACGTTGTGGAGAGCCATGATCGCCAGTCCTAAAGGGACGCGACGCATAAAAGACGACGGATGGTCATTTCAACCGGTTGAGTTAACTGTTTTTGCGAAGATTACAATCCCGACGAATAATTATTTTGAAAAGACCGAAGAATTTTGGTCAACCAACCTTCACCTACTGCTTAAGAAAGAACATTTTTTCTTCTACAATTTAATCCATTTTTGTGGAACCCGGGGTTTGATAAAGCAGGATCTGTAATGTAAGTTGTTTTGAAGGAATTAATTGATTTTATTTGTAATATGACATTATTTCTGACATACATACATACATATATATATATATATATATATATATATATATATATATATATATATATATATATATATATATATATAGGTCACTCTATTCAAACATTAAACATATCGAAGGGCTAACCGCCCTTCAGGAAGCACTACTAAAAGAAGAAAACAAGACCCCCCACAGAAGTCATTATAAACTCATGGAGCATGTCCTTACATTGAATACTTTTAACTTCAATGGAGCACACTACCTTCAAATAAGAGATTGTGCCATGGGCACCATTGCAGCTCCATCATATGCTACAATATTCATATGAAAATTTGTGGAGACCCATATCTATCCAATCATTGGTAGCGACTGCGTATTCTATGCAAGATATATCGATGATATATTCTTTGTATACACGGGTAGTAATGACAAACTTACCCAATTCCTTATGACCCTAAACACAGAGCACGACTCAATTAAGTTTGACTATGAAAAATCCACAACATCAGTAACATTTTTAGACACCCGCATTTACATAGATGAAAACAGGAAACTACAAACGACACTACACACTAAAATCACCGACACCCACAACTATCTACACTTTAAGTCTTCCCACCCTAAACAACTCAGAGGACCTTCCCTATTCACAAGCACTTAGACTCAGAAGGATATGTTCCAACAATGAAGAATTAAATAAACACATTGAAAATCTGGAGCATCAATTCACCACACGGGGCTATAAACAACACCTAATCAGGGAACAAATAAATAAAGCAATTTCTACATCTAGAGAAGACACCCTAATGTACAAGATTAAGAATAAATCTAGCCGCATCCCTCTAGCAACCATGTTCAATCCCACTCTGCCTCCACTATCCCAAATAATCAAAAGTCGCTGAGAAATACTACATCTCAAACCAGACCTAAAAAAATTGTTTAAGGAACCCGGCCTTCTTGCATATTGTAGACCTAAGAACCTAAAGGAAATCATAAGTAGTAACCACATTTCAGGGGACAAGGTAATCCGTAATAAACTAAGAACAAAAACAACAGGATTTTCCCAACCATGTAACAACAAAAGAAGTTTATGTTGCAACCATATTAAAAACACGAATTCATTCACTAGCTCAATCACTAAATCTACTTTCAAAATCTACCATGATTCTAACTGTAGAAGTCATAGCATAATTTACCTCCTAGAATGCACACTATGCCAGAAAGAATATGTAGGAAAATCTGAATGGCCCTTTCACTACAGAATTAATAATTATCGCAATCGAATTAAGTCGACTCCCCATGAAAAATTATTACCCGTAGAACAACATTTCCGCCTGGAAAAACACGATTTCAAAACCCATGCCAAATTTACTATAATTCAGAGAATAGAAAAGTTCAGAGCAGATAACATTAGAAAGATTTTAGAGTTCCATGAAAATAAGTAGATACGTCTAAAAACACAATATCCAGCCGGGCTAAACCATAAATTTAACAATATAGATAGTACTAATATATAACTCAACAAATCAAATCCTACCCACATTTCTCACCCACACAAGACAGACATGCTTACGGAGGTGTGGAGGCCTCACACTTATACATCCACCCACACGAATATACACACTTACACACATCATACTCACTCAACCCTAATGAGCCAAATGATAACACACACCCACAGCAATACACACGCTTACACATATCATACTCACTCACTCCCTAAGAACCAAATAACACACACACAAGCACTAAACAGAGACACATCCCCTCTCCAGGGCCAATAAAACTGTCAAACTGACCAAGGGAATTCAGAGAAGCATAGATCCATCCAGTTCTTATCTCAAATAACAACTTAAAAGAGACTGTTTGACCAACACAAGGAATGTTAAAAGATTCATGTTATAAAGATAAAAAAATAAAAAAAACAAATGAAAACTACAGACAAAAGTTTATTTTCTCTATCAAGACATTCATTTCTGTAGTTTACTGCTACCAACAAGCAGAAATATTTCTCCTCCCGATGAATGATGACCATTTCGGCCGAAACTAGTCGAGGAATCTAAATGAAATAATACTAAAAAAAAACGAAAGAATATTAATCTAATTGTTAATATATATATATATATATATATATATATATATATATATATATATATATATATATATACCCTTGTGCAAATTAATTGAAACAAAACAAATAATTCCGTTATTATTTACTTTTTTTTCGTATTTTTTCAATGAAACCTGATCCAGCGCACATGTTCATACTTCGTATGCCCATTCCACGAAGTCTTTCCCTGCAGATTGACTACAGATTCTCGATTGGATTTAAATCAGGAAATTTTCCGGGTCACTCTATAGTACGTTCATTTGCTCACTGGTAAGGCTTGCTAGTGTGTTCGTACAGCGTTGCAATTTTCGTGTGCTTCCTTGGAGTAGCGTCCATCGCAGACAATGGCCGTAAGACAATTAATCGACAGTCGAGACAATAGTATCTGAGCGTAATGAAAATGTTGCAATCACGGATGACGTAATATTTTTCAAGGCCAAACAAATTTCATCATACACCCCGAAAATAGATTCATATTACTGAACACCACTGCAAATGACCTACTCCGAGGGAAAGATAGAAGTCGATAACACCCTGTCACTCCAGTGGATCTAAAACTGACCGTATGCTGAAAGAAAGGAAATTAAAGTGGTTGTTTCAAGTAGACATATCTGTTTTTTAAACAGTGTAAATTTACGACTATGGTCTGTTCATTCCAGACTTTTAAAAACGTTTGTGCTTCCAGGTAGGGTTCGAATCGCTCCACCCCTTCATGGGGAAAACACCACCTGATCCGATGACCGCGCTGCTACGGAAATGGGCATTCCTTAAAAAGGGTAAACTGAAACTGGACTGTAAAGCTTTCTGTAGCTGAGCCGTTTACAACCTTTAAAATTATAAAAACTGTGAGTTCTTTAATAGCAGTTGCGATCTGAACTGGGTCGAGATTATAGACACTGTTGTAATGACAGAATACATCATTTAATATGTAATTTGTAAAGCTTTGTTTGAAAATATTCAAGGATACAAATCTTTTTACAGTTTACCATTAAATAGTACTTTGTGTAAGCCAAGGGTTGGCAAACTATTCCTGCTGACAATTCCACATCTAACGAATGCTCCACGTATTTGTCCTTGTATTAGATTAAGTTAAACTCTGTAAGTATATACGTTTTGCAAAAAATGTCAGAATAAATAACCAATTAAAATAACTGTTCTAGTATTTTTTCCTTGGTAGATAATAATACTATTTATGTGATAAGCTAGCAGAAATTTTACAGCTCATGATTGATAGCGGTCAGTGCCTAAATAAGAATGAAAAGTACGATATGGTAAGATGTTATTAATAGGAGTCAGCCGGATGGATCATTTTCACGACGGCGCAAACGACAGCAAGTCAAAAAAAAAAAAGAAAAATGAAAAAAAGAAAATATACTTTTCATGTCGCGACGCCATCAACGTGATTCTCTTGAGAAGTCGGGTAAAGAGTTTAAAAAGGAAATTTCACTGCTCCCTAACTTTGAACTCCAAAACACATCTACAAGCATTTTTTTCAACGGGGTCGAATCACACAACCTTTTCAATAGCTTTGTTGATTCAACTGTGTAAGTGGTTTTTAGTCCACTCATACACACATTCTCTCTCTCTCTCTCTCTCTCTACATACAGGGTGACCCCAAAAAACGGGAACTTTTTAACAATCCAATAAAACCAAGAGTGATGGAAGAAAAATATTTTATTCATAGTAATTAAAATCTTAAAACATGCCATTTAAGAAACAATGATGGAATTTTCATTTTTTAATAATTACGTCCTGTAAATGGCGTCCTCCTGAACGAATGCATTCTTGAAATCTGCTGTAGAGATTCTTCATTGACTGCTGCAACATCTCAGCTGGGATACTGTGAATTTCATCATGAATTCTAAATGACGAAATGTTTACTTGCTCAATGTCACTGTATCGCAGTGTTGCCACTTGCTCATGTCTGGCAATACGCACCTCAAAAATTCCCGTTTTTGGGGGCCACCCTATATATATATATATATATATATATATATATTTGGGGAGCATGGTTTCTTATAAAAATCCTTCGTTAAATATGACAATGATAAGAAAAATTAATTAATTAATTTTTTACTTTTTCCAGCGTTCTTACATTTTCCCTTTTGGTGGGAGTGAGGAAGTGCTAAACTTGTCCATATTATCTATTGTTCCAAGCTCTTTCAGCTACTTCTTTAGCCATTTTCAAGGGGTGGGGTTGTTTTAGATATTGTTATTTTCTCTGAAATCTCTTGGCTGGAATTCGAGTGAGCGTCTTTCTATTTTTTTTTAAACACACCACTCCCACTGTTAAATAAGGTTAGGTTGATAGTGAGAGAGAGATGTTTAATAAACAGGGCATCTCTTATAGCTTGGGACAATGGACAAGATGGACAATTTTTATATTCCCTTACTCCCACGAAACGGAATAATATAAGAACGCTGTTAAAAATAATATGAAATTGATTAACTTTAAAATTCTCACTCAATTTCAGAGAAATCGATAGCATTAACCTAACAGCTACCAAAGTGACACGGGAAATTAAAATGTACATCGTGGTCGTGTCATTTGCTGCGACCTAAATTGACTCAGAGATAGCCACCTTCTTGGAAGTGGACAGGTAGAAAGAAGGAACACCATAGAGGTACCCACGGAAATGCACGCGAATTACACATATTCCTCGATGGATTGTGAACCACGATGGTAATGACATACAGGTCTATTGCTTCCCATGGGGATTGAAAATCAATACCACCAACAACATTAAATTTAATTATGCATGTGTGAATTTTCCTATCTAGCTAGTCTCTTCATACCGATCTATCTAATCAGTCTCTTATCTATCTATCTACCTATCTATCTAGTCTCTTCATGCCGATCTATCTAATCAGTCTCTTATCTATCTATCTATCTATCTATTCAGTCTCATATCTTTCTATTCAGTTTCTATTTATCTATCTATCTATTCAGTCTCTTCATATCTATCTATTCAGTCTCATCATATCTATCTATTCAGTTTCTATCTATCTATCTATCTATCTATATATTCAGTCACTTCATATCTATCTATTCAGTTTCTTTCTATCTATCTATATATTCAGTCTCTTCATATCTATCTGTCTATTCAGTCTTTTCATATCTATCTGTCTATTTATCTATCTATTCAGTCTCATCATATCTATCAATTCAGTTTCTTTATATCTATCTATTAAGTTTCTTCATATATATGTATGTATCTATCTATTCAGTTTCTTCATATCTATCTATTCAGTTTCTTCATATATATGTATGTATCTATCTATTCAGTTTCTTCATATCTATCTATTCAGTTTCTTCATATGTATGTATGTATGTATGTATGTTTCTATCTATCTATCTATCTATTCAGTCTCTTCATATGCATGTATCTATCGATGCAGTCTCTTCATATCTATCTATCTATCTATTCAGTCTTTTCATATATATCTATCTATCTTTTCAGTCTTTTCATATCTTTCTATTCAGTCTGTTCATATCTATCTATCTATTCAGTCTTCATATCTATCTATCTATCTATCTATTCAGTCTCATATCTATCTATTCAGTTTCTATTTATCTATCTCTATTCAGTCTCTTCATATCTATCTATTCAGTTTCTATCTATCTATCTATCTATCTATCTATCTATTCAGTCACTTCACGTCTATCTATTCAGTTTCTTTCTATCTATCTATATATTCAGTCTCTTCATATCTATCTGTCTATTCAGTTTTTTCATATCTATCTGTCTATTTATCTATCTATTCAGTCTCATCATATCTATCAATTCAGTTTCTTTATATCTATCTATTCAGTTTCTTCATATATATGTATGTATCTATCTATTCAGTTTCTTCATATCTATCTATTCAGTCTCTTCATATGTATGTATCTATCTATTCAGTCTTCATATCTATCTATCTATCTATCTATCTATCTATCTATCTATTCAGTCTATTCATATCTATCTATCTATCTATCTATCTATCTATTCAGTCTATTCATATCTATCTCTCTATCTATCTATCTATCTATTCAGTCTATTCATATCTATCTATCTATCTATCTATCTATCATAGTAGGAGACGTAATATTCTTGCTTTAAGAATCTAAGATGAAATATTTGCATAATTACACAAAGTTCCTTATTTTATTTATTTAAAGTTTATCGTATTTATTGATAAATTTTGTCTGAATTTGCACATTTTTAGAACGTGAACCCTTCCACATTCGTCATTTGGATCAGATTTAAAGCGTAGAATTTAATTATTGGATTTTTATTGAGAGTTCACTAAACTTAAATATTCGCGCGTGCCTTTTCCCGGCTGCTCTTAAGTACCTAATATGAGAGGGGGTGTCTTAATAATCGGTGAAGGGGACATAAATTGAAAACCATTTTTTTAGTATCATTGAAATTGTTTATATTATTTGTTGTGACACTTATAACATAGTCGAGAAGCGTTTCGTTTGACTTTGAATGTTTTAAACTCCAAACTTCGTTTATATAATTGATATATATATTTATATATATATATATATATATATATATATAGATAGATAGATAGATAGATAGATAGATAGATAGATAGATAGATAGATAGATAATTAGATAGAGGGAGTGTGAGAGTATAAAAAATATCTCATGTGGTCAGTCTATTGATATAAATAAAATATGGCAGACTTCCGGTTTTTAATCGACTTTGGCAGCCATTTCAGTCGATAATAGTGGGATTGGTTTCCGGATGTATAAAATGCTGTGGTTTGTAAGTGCTAAGCACTTTCTTTTTTTTCTTTTTTTTTTTTTTTTTTTTTTCGTGTAAATATTATTTCCTCAGGGGAACAACGTTTTCAAGAGCGTCATAGGACACTGCTTTCTGAAAATTTGTAAATTCTTTGATAGCATCCGGGAGAGAGGAGAAAAAAAAATAAAGATACTCATTTTACCCTGATTACTGAGCCCGCCAACATTTCTTCAAAACAATTCCAAATCAACGAAGACCTTAAAAGATATAATATGCAAATTATAAATTAACCCCTCAAAAACAAAACTTCTTTCTATTAATCATCTGAGTGAACCCTTTTTCTAACTTACATCGTACTAGACATTTTTCTCGCCCAAATCTACCTTACAAGTCAGAATCTTATCTTACAAGTCCGAATCTACCTTATAAGTCTACCATTCGTCCATGCTTCGAATATTGTTGCCACATACGGCCTGGTTCTTCTGCTATATAATTTAGATATTCTTCATAAATTCCAAAGAAGAATCTGCAATGATATTGGTGCTGACCTGGCATTCCGTCTTCACTCACTTTCCAACCGCCGTAATACAGCATCCCTGGGCCTTTGTTTTATAAATACTTTCATTGTAATTGTTGTGATTAACTTTATGAGTTTAAGTGCAGAACTAGATTGTTTTCATCATTTTACACTTGATTTGGCTCGACGTAACCGTAAGTTCTATGCTAACAATTCCTTTTCTCGCCAGTAGAACTCTCTTACGGCTTCTTACTTTCCAGACAACTTTGATGTTCAAAAAATTAAGTGCAATACTGATCGCTTTCTACTGTCTCCTTGATTCCTCTTCTTTTATAGTTCTCATTCCTTTTAATGCTTTTCTTTTTCTTATTTTTTCACACTCGGTAACCTTTTGTGTCTTAGTAGCTTTATTGTGTTGCTTGGGGTGAAATGATTACAAAAATACCATTAATATTTAGGAAATGTTTTATTTTTAGATTTCTGTCACAGTTTCTGAAATAAAGAATTCTCTTTTCTTCATGTGTGTGCTTTGTCAGTTTTGGATGTGGTCGACCATGGTAATGGTAATAGTCTTGGTAATATTAGCCGTTTCCGTATAAGGAAACATTCAGTATTTCATCAATACTACTCGAATAACGTTTTTCTTCACTCAGTGACCATCAGGCTGGGATCCCAATGAAGTATCGCTTCTCTCATTTTTCATTATGATGTAATGAACATGCATAAGCCTGGTTCCCCGTCTCAGTAATTATTGGCTGGTGTCAGCCATAAATACAGACTGATGTGAAGGTATAGGAGGGCGCCTATTGACTACGCCTATTGAGACGCCCATTGTCTTCGCCTATTGCCTACTACTACGACGAGGACCGGTCCATTACGGTTACCTGCTAGATTGTCCTACCCGGTTACAGTAGTCCAAAACCACTTTGATACTTCGAACAAATATATCCCTTTCCGGGACAAATCACATTATAATGGTAATATTATCCGTTTTCTAAACAGGAAATATTCGGTATTTATTTACCAAGCAACCAGTACTTACACAAGTTACACTTTTCTCCACTCCTTCGCGATCGGGCAATGATCAAAGTGTAGTAGCTGTCTTCGGGTGGACAAAATACACTTTATCTCACAACTGTGTTAGTGTTTTCGGACAGCGCGCAATTCAGTTGTTTCTTTGTCTTTCGGCAGAGCACAACTAAAAAATATTGTGAGGTACCCGGTCTAGGATAACCTGAACCAAATATTGCTTATGGAAATATTTCTCCAGGAGAAACTGAACCAAATATTGCCTGTGGTAATATTTCTCCCGGAGAATCTGAACCTAATATTGCCTGTGGCAATATTTCTCCCGGAGAAATGGCAATATTTCTGAACCAAATATTGCCTGTGGTAATATTTCTCCCGGAGAATCTGAAACCTAATATTGCTGTGGTAATATTTCTCCCGGAGTGGCAATATTTCTCCAGGAGAACCTGAACCAAATATTGCCTGTGGTAATATTTCTCCCGGAGAATCTGAACCTAATATTGCCTGTGGCAATATTTCTCCCGGAGAACTTGAACCAAATATTGCCTGTGGTAATATTTCTCCCGGAGAATCTGAACTTAATATTGCCTGTGGCAATATTTCTCCCGGAGAACTTGAACCAAATATTGCCTGTGGGAATATTTCTCCCGGAGAATCTGAACCTAATATTGCCTGTGGTAATATTTCTCCCGGAGAATCTGAACTTAATATTGCCTGTGGCAATATTTCTCCCGGAGAACCTGAACCAAATATTGCCTGTAGTAATATTTCTCCCGGAGAATCTGAACCTAATATTGCCTGTGGCAATATTTCTCCCGGAAAACTTGAACCAAATATTGCCTGTGGCAATATTTCTACCGGAGAATCCGAACCAATTATTGCCTGTGGCAATATTTCTTTCATTGTACTAAAAAGATGTAGTCGGTAGTAATACCGATTCTATAGCAAAGAATGGTTGGGGGAGCTGGATTACTTTGGAGCCTTTCCAGGTTGCCCTCACATTAAACTGACCTTGTGTCACATCCTACCAGCGTGGGGCGGTTATTAAATAAGTGTAATACCTGACTTTGGGCGGACTAACTACATTTTATCTCTTAATTGTGTTTCTGTCTTCTCTTCGGACTGAGTGTAAGAGAGTGGTGACTTTCACATCGGGTCAAACTTCAGATTGTTTTCATTTTTAAATCGCTTTTTATGGTACCTATAAACACACACACACACACACACACACACAAACACACACATAACAAAAACAAATGAAAACAATAGATAAAGTTTGTTTTCTCCACCGAGTCATTCATTTCTGTAGTTCACTGCTACTAACAAGCAGAATTTTTTTTCTCCTGATGATGGCCATGCTGGCCGAAACAAGTCGAGGAATCTAACTGAAATAATAAAAACGAAAGAATATTAATAGACAACCCAGTATGTCTGAAGATCTTATTTTTTTTAATATTTTTATTATTCAAAACATCACACACACACACACACACATATATATATATATATATATATATATATATATATATATATATATATATATATATATATATGAAAATTTCTCCGATTTAATTAGTAGAAGACAATATTTATGAATAAAAATGACAATAGGAAAACTGGTAATTGCTGACGCGTTTCGTCCAATGTGGACTTTATCAATTTTTTCGTATTTTGCTTTGATAAAGTCCACAGTGGACGAAACGCGTCAATTACCAGTTTTCCTATTGTCATTTTTATTCATAAATATATATATGTATGTACAAATATATACGAATATTGGTATGGGGAGGTAGATCATTTGGTAAATAGGTGAATCGTCTTGTGAATTTTTTTTTGCACCCCACTTTAAAATGACCAGGTTAATATAAGTTTCTTAATAAGTCATTTTTCTGACCTAAATGTCTGTACTTTCAATAACGTCTCGCGTGATAAATGTTTTCTTTTCAGATCAAGCGGCAACCCACAGCTCGATCTTCGTTTCGCTGTCGGTTTCTTTCGAGGGGTCGCACACTGTTAATAGCCTTAATGGAAATAAAGAACAATAGTCACTACAGAGTAGATATCGAATCGCACTTTTTTATGTCGATTTCTGAGATGAACTGGATGTGCTTCGGAAAACAGTTATCAAGTCAACAATGCTGAAAAAAAAAGAATTAAAAAATGTAAGAGAGTAGGAATGATTGCGAAAAACATTCATTGTAATAATCATCGTCTTTCATCCAATGGGATGATAAGGTTTTATTTTCTTTTAAGGAATGGTTCGTTCGTGTATTGATTTTAGGTGAGTAATAGCTTGTAGGAGACACGGTGGAGGAATCGGAGAGCGGAGTTCGAATTCCAGTTAAATCCATTACATACACTTACGTGCTAATACCCTTGGGAAAGGTATGGATCCTCTTCTTCTCCACCCTCCAGCTATGGGTAAACATAGCCTTGAATGTCAACTGGTCTGCCGCAGAAAGAAATTACAATCTACTGCGGGAAAAAAATCTGTGTCGTCAGTCATCGAACGATACAAAGCATGGCACATAACTGACTGAAAATTTTGCATAAATCCAGCCACACACACACTTTATCTCCAGGTTTCAGCAAGGTGGGATCCAGGAAGATAGGATAATACAACGGGTGACAAAATCAAGTCTCTAGCGATCCACAGTAGTAGTTTAATTTCAGGGTTTTCCTTCTCGTAGACTGGCTAGATAAACCTGTCGTCACTGCTATTTAACATATTGTTATGGTCCTGTTCCTTGTACCACGGTGATAGTCCAAGGTAGAACCAATAAAGAAGAACTCGAAGGCAGATATGGAATAACACAGATATATTACAAACAGGAATATATGCAGAGAGGGAGAAAGGTGTTAGTGCGAACAATCAGGTTTAGTAGTAATTGTCTGAACACGACTCTGTTTCGGACTGCCTCTGACTCGACGGACTGACTCGCTCGCTCTGACTGACTGACAGACCCCTGACGGACTTCACTCCAGACTTCAAACTGAACTCCAGACTTCAGACGGAACTCAACTCCCTGCTCCCCCTGAGGCGCGGTATTTATTACGTATGGAATAGTCCATTATGTTATTATGGGTAAAGTCCCATAACACATATAAACATATATTTAACTAATGGTAAGAAGGAGAAAGAGAGAGAGAGAGAGAGAGAGAGAGAGATGATTCATGTCTTTCTCAAGGACATTCATGTTAAAGTGTACATAACAATTTCGCTTAGAATTTGAAGCACACACGCTTGCCTAACCTCAATATAATCAGTAGTTGATTAGCAATCAGGAAATGAAGTGTTAGTGTTTCATTAACATTTACAGATCACACCTTTCAAGTTTTCTTTATTTACCTTAATTCATTTTTTTTAATCAATTCACCGCAAGCAGCCCCGCCCAGTCGGCCGGGTCTTCAGACTACGCCAATTGCACCTCTGCAGAAAAGAAATACCACCACCCTAATGAGGCGTCCTGGGTATGACGATAAACTACATACGGTAGCAGGCATCTAATCAGAAGGTTTTCAGGAGCGTGGAACCCACTCTTAATTGCTGTGGTCCCCAGGTCCACCTTGACCTGGCGTGGTAGCACCTTTTACGGTTTCAGCTGTGGGAAAATAGTTAACCCACCAAACTGGGCTCAAAACACTATGAAACTGCAAAAATAGGTTTTATATTAAAAATACCAGAAATACATTTTTGAAAACGAAAAATATTGCCTGCAATACATTTTTGAACAAAATATTACCAGCAATACATTTGTGAAAAATTAAAAAATTATTAACAGCAATATATTTTTGAAAAATTAAAAAATTATTACCAGCAATACATTTTTGAAAAATTAAAAAAAATATTACCAGCAATATACTTTTGGACAAAAATGTTACCGGCAATGCATTTAACTCACGACAAAAAAAAAAAAAAAAAACACTTTACAAAAATACGTCAATGAAACCTGATCTACAAACTGATTTCTTCCAAAGAATACATATTCTGTTCATACGTAACTATCCTAAATATCTTGTCGGCATGAAATAATCCATTGACGTGTTAATATGCCGTAAAACAAAATAAACCAAACCAAGCAAGGCGATAAGACCACTATAGGCTATTGGGGGTGAAAGAGAATTAAAAGACTTTAGAAAGAACTGGAAACCCAATCCGAAAAAGGAAACCTCCACTCCTATTCAAAAGACCAGGATGATTGGGAACCAGACGATAGGCGCACCTATTTATTCCTAATGAGGAAAAAAATGGTATAAATTTCAGAGATTAGGCAGAGAAATATAAAGTTGAGATATAGTTTAGACGGAATCACAAATCCAGTTCTGGACAGGGAATAAGGGAAACAGGCAACCTCAACTCCTTTTCAAAAGACTGGAGAGAAGCATGAAACGGGCGATAGGCCAACCTATCTACTCCTATTGAGGAAAAAGTAAACAAAGAGTATAATTTTCGGTGTTTAGGCAGAGACGTTAAAAGAATGAAGCTGAGATAGATTTTAGAAGAAGCCGTAAACCCAATCCAAAACCGAAAACAAAACTCTATTCCTAGTCAAAAGACTGGGGAGAAGTGTAAACCGGGCGACAGAGAAATCTATCTATTCCTATTAGTTTTATTTTATTTTCGATTTTATTCGGTTGTGACACTATTTAGCGGTCGCGTGAAAATGAAAAACGAGAAATAATTAAGGCGAGACGAAGCCGAAATTATTATTCGTAAGATATCGGATCTGTGGAATTAATTTATGTTATGACGCGGCGAAAGAAAATAGCAATCTGCCCATGGCAATAATAAAAATTTCAAATTGGTCAAGTGGCCTACAAAACAGAATGCTAAAAGATAATGTTAATCAGGCACGTATTGACCGAGAAAGACCTCAGCTGCGGACCACCCCCAAGGAGAGAAGGAAAGGAAGGGAAAAGAGAAAGGAAAGGAATAAACCATTAACTATCCTTCGGAGATATCATTTGGTTTTGGGAAAAACACCTGTTTTATGTCAGAGCTGGTCATGATAAGAGTTTGTTGCCTGGATAGACTGTGGCGACAGAAGCACGTAGGCGTTGAGGAGACAAAGAGATTCACTGATCAACCCCAATGATTATTTGACGAAAATCTCGTTGACGAACTCCAGATGAAATTCGGTTAAGATAGAGATTAGGGACCACTCTACGAGTCGTGGGAGGAAGTAGAAAGTAATGAACTTCCAAAAATGGAAAGTAATAAATTTTCCTGTTCGAAAACAAAGAAAATCCTTATTGTGGATTTAGAATTATCAAGGAACCTCAAACCCTACAAGCCCACCCCGGTTTTGGTCGGCGTCCATATAAGCAGAGTCGCATCGAGTGGACGGCAGTAACACAGAAAGTAGTTGGAGTTGCAGTTGGAGAGAGAGACGCAGAGTTGAGCTGTGAGCTCTGAGACCCGCCTCGCAGGAAGCTGACTGAAGATCCACGCATCCCAACTTCAACTTCTAACCAAGAACAATTTAATTTTGAAGAACGACTTAGACTCACACCACCAAAACAAGTTTTACGAATATCGCCTGAAGATACAGAAAAAAAACAGTTTCTTAAAAAAACAACTTAATATGTTAAGACTCGCCTAACAAACACAAAGTGTCACGAATCCATATAAGCGAGTTGGGAGAAAGAAGCAGTCCTGTATTCAGTAACCAGATATAAAAATATTTGTCATTCTTTTTTTAACACATTTGAACTTTTCGAGTTGTTACTTTATTTTCTTTTACATATACTTGTGCGGTGTTACCTTTGCTCAGACTCGGCTTGCATTGCGGCCCGGCGACTGATTGATTTCGTCTACCTAAGATCAAATCACAACGTGGGTAGGTTAGACTAGAAATCAAAGCAGTTACTTCGGTAACCAGAC